CTCATTTGCTCTTGGCGACAGTGACAGGAATGTTTCGACGCCACATTTGGCGCGTAAAATATATTTCCAATTCAAATTGACGAGCTGCAATACAAATAAACCGTTGCCACTTGGTGGCTTGTGGAACAATGCGCTTTATTTTTTCAACATTTTGTGAAAAATTTGTGTTTTTAATGGCGACATTCATGGCTTTGGGAAGAGTTCAAGGAGGAGTTTCGCATATTTTAGAAAGTATGTGATCTTAAAGGGAGTCGGAGGAAGAAAGGCGGCCTATATTACAATTAAGGTATATAAAGGGTTTCAAAACGTATAACCAGCACCGGAACTGCTGACAAAATACACGAGTATCTCTTCTATTAACCGTATTATCATCTCCATAGAGCTTCGCTATTTAAGTTTAAGGAAATCCTGCAGAAGTCAAGTGATGACATTCGAAAAATGGTGAAAAAGGTAAGCCTGGGTAGTTAGCCATTTAAAAAAATGAATCGTAACTTGTCGTCAGTATCATAACAATATATAAGGGGTGTGTCCACAATCAGGTCTTGCTACAATTAGCCTTTTAACCCAAAAACGTGAAAGGATTTTTATTGCAGTTAAAACGATCACGAATGGTCTAGAATATTTTTAATACAACTTTTGTTGGTCAAACCGATTCCAGCTGCTGCTGTTAGCTCTAGGTTGCGATCTTTGCTAAATATAGATACTGCTAGGTTCATAGCCCAATCTTAGAGTCCCTCAGAGATTATTAGCACAAATTTTTGAGGTACTATCGCCTTTTCTCTCCTTATTTATTTGATCCGTGAACAACATCAATATGAACGGTGGTGCTGAGGCCGGATCCGCGACAGAGCTTTTCAACTGGTAGGAATTTTTTACAAAAGCAGAGGAGTCGTCAGAAAGATAAGCTTTTAAGTGGATCCTTCGATGACATATCAAGTTCTTTTGAACAACTGAGTTTAGGTCTAATTAATTAAATTAATTATTTGAGTGAGGAGTCACCAAGCAAGAGTAGTTTGCAGCTGGATTCCTTCAAGCACTTATTAACACTTGAGCAAATTGTGCGAATTGCGCATCATTGAACTAAAATTTTCTTAAATAAGTTGGAGTTGAGTGTACGTGGGAGCTCCATGGATTAAATACTTACTAACCAGACAACTACTGCTAGGTTAAATCTTTCGAGTTATAACTCTGCATATACTGTCGCGACACCTCTTGCTTTAATGATGTCTAATAAGGCTATGTATCTGAGCACAGTTCAGGTTTAACCCTTAAAGGTTTTGGTACTACCATGAGTCAGCGTGGACTGCATCTTTAACACTTACTTAGAATTCCTCCATTGCACTTGCAACGTGAGGGAGATTTCATGTGGCAAACTAAATATGCCACTTGCAACTAATGGCGCGCGGCGCCAAATCCTCAAGAGACCGTGTTGCGGCATGCTTTGCGTCCCGTTAATGTGTCGGCTTATGCGAATAAGCATTTGGAAAATTGTAGTATTTTTCGTATACCGCAGCTTTTGTGTTACTATTGCCAATTGCAACATGTTGCTTATGTAAATTTATCAATTGCAAAGAGTGCGCAAAAGAAAAACGAAAATAAAAGTCAGACACCACCAGCAAGGAAGGTGCACTTTGGACGTGCAAGGATCGTGTCAGCGCGATCGACATGACATTCACATGCCAATAGCAGTGCCACATGTTGCAAGCAGCACAAAGCGCTTGGCTGGCAATCGGCAAATGACGCACGCGCGCTCGCTCAAGCTAGCTACTCACTCACACGGACTCACCGATTTGTAGCCACAGCCAAACAAAGTCAAGTCTAAAGTGCATTGAACGTCATTACCGAAAACAGCAAGGCGGCCGAATGGTGCTAACGGTTTAAAAAGCACAATTGAACGCGCGAAAAACTAATACCGCTATGTCGAGATGAGTAGCATAGATAAGCGTTTAACAACAGCAGCAACAATACGTTCATGAGTGGCCATGACACCAGCAATAGCGGGCCAAAAAGCAACATTGCCACCAAAGCGCCTACCGAGCTTCGCATGGCAACACCACAGCGGTGCGACCGCAGCGACACCGATTAAGGGTGACTCGGAATTGCGGTCTTTTCTAATTCAATTGTAATTGGAAATCTGCAAATGAACTGTGCATCGACAAGGAGTTGACCTACTCACAACCGATATTGGCTACGAACTCTACATGCTTATACATGGCACTGACAAATCGTGCAACGGCAAGCGTGTAAATATTTGCGGAAAAATCAGTTAAGTTGTAGCTGCATGATAAGCTTGCCACTTGACAAAAAAAAAAAAAATCTATATATATACTTTTGAATTTGAGATTTATTTGTGGCAAGCTGACACATTTCAAAGGTTTAAAATTTTTGTAAAGCAAAATGTTGTGGGGACGATGAGGACTAAGGACTGTTTTAAGAAGTTTTAACGATGCTGAGCTTCTGTACAGATAAATGCTACCGTCAACAGTGCAATACGAAGAATCTCGCTAAATTTGCTTTTGAGACAAGATCTCATTCAAACATGTTTTCTCAGTTGCAAGTTTCATTCAATCACAGTTACGAGTATCGAGCTCAAACGCATCTCAAAACCCTTCGGAGTAGTGTATTTTTAACTCTTACTTTTCGTTTCTATTTGTATACTCTCCCGTTTGGACTTCACTATTCAGTATCCAGAAAGAGTACGCTTTTAAAAGGGTGCTTGGTCACAAAATCATCGAGGGCAGTGAAATACTGGACGAGACTGCCAAGAATGGTATACGGCTAACATCCGAAAATATGATCAAAATGGGAAACATAGGCATTGTCTATACGACGATCTCGACAGAAGCATGGTAAAGAAAATCAAAACCCGATGGAGCGAAGCTACCTGTGCGCGAAACTGCAAAGGTCGTGTGCAAAACGGTAGATCGGCAGTACAGAAAATTCCTACTGGTACTCGATAGAAAAGACTGTAAGAACATGATGGGAATACTAACTGGTCTCTGTCTGGTGGTGGCTCACGCCAGCAGGATAGGGCTGATAGATCCAGAGGATCTAGAGCAGGATGTCTAGAGCAGAGCACAAGGGAAATAGCGGAGCATCACTTGTCCTGCGTTGGCAAGACTACGCTGTAAGCATCTGGGTCCCCGTGGTGTGATACACTGGAGGAGGTATCAAAAGTGAGGCCGCAAAGTCTGTTAAAATTCGCGTCAATCACAGGCATCCAAGTCATTTAAGTCTCTTGGACCTAGGAACTGAACTCCATCTGGTATCGAAAAGGACCAAAGCTGGTCTATGCATGACTTATTGAAATACAGGATTAACCTAATGTAAGCTAAAGTTCACTTTAAGTTTTTAGTATTAACGCTAAAAGGGCTCGCAAAGGACATCACTCTCTCTCTCTCTCTTTTATTTGCATTAGTATCTTTCAGTAATAACACTGAACTCTGCAGTAAGCTTTTTTAAAGCGGGAGCTAAAGACAAGTTCAGGAGACAGTAATCAAATCCGTTGTTGTGGAGGTTGGAGACATTTTCGTAATGAGGGTGTGAATTGTGACTATACTCATGTGGTAGATTTGTTATTATGTAACCACCATTTAAAACTACTGTTGATTCCCAATCAACATCTCCACCTTGAGCCACTAAAATGCCAAATTGAAGAAAGGCTAATAAAACCGCTATTAATTTGTACCAAAAATGGGTTACTTCGTTACATGAAAAACTATGTATGAGCGCTTGTAGATCTTGGCTCCGGATATGCAGTTCAGCATATTTGTATACTCAAAAGCGCGGGAGAACACCCATAAACACCTGAATGCCTGCAAAAATAAACGAAAAAAACATATAAACGAACAGTGTCTACAAATAACGTTCACCACACTCGACGTGCGGCACGCTATCACTGCCAGCAGATCAGTTGCTTGCCAGTTAAGTTTGGTCGCTAACGGTTGTTCGGCTGCAGTGTGCGCCTGGGCCCGTCAAATGCGCGACCAATTCGAATTCTTTGCCTCCAAAGGTGTTAAGAGTCAACATTGAAAACAAAAATGATCTTGATATGCGAAAATAAGAATGTTTGTTACATTTCTGTTGTTGCGTTGTTGCAGTTGTTAGAATTGTACTTGCTGCTTTTTTACAACGAAATTTTGTTTCGTTTTGTTTTTGCTGTTTACAGTCGCCTCGTTACAAATTACGAAGAATGACTAAGTGGATGGAATTTAAGGTGCTTTTCGATCAGCGACATTTCGCTCTGGAACTCAGTGTTGTGGAAAGATGCCTTGAGAAGAAATGGAGAGTTGAAACTGCTGCATTCGCTCTTCGCAGGACTGACTGGAGACTCGGTCACGTTTAATCCAAATGTCGATGACGTGGGCTGGTTAATTGGTATCAGGATAATAAGATGGTAGCAGAACTCTGCACTGCTGTGGGTGACGTAAGCAGGTGCGAAGCTTCAGAGCTTTAGGGTGCGACCCGTTCAGAAAAAAAGGACTGTAGTTGCAATCCATCCATTCAAAAGGTTTTTATACATCGCTTGGGATGCACTGTGGCTCCTCAGAAGACAAAGTCCTGATGCTCGACGAAAGATTGATCAAAACTGCATCCACCAAATAAACGAGACCAAAGGGTAGTGTTAGGCAGCTCGGTATCCTCGTCCTCTTTTAGCCATGAGACAAAAATTCAGTGTTTGTATCACCTTGCGGTTCAGACCCACTAAACCTTCGCGGTATTCTTCAAAGACCAACTCCTTTTGAGCTCTTTTACTTTCGGTAGAGCCATAAGTCTTTGGGTACTTCAACGGGTTTCAACAGTGTCTATGAATTTCTTATACCCACTCTGCGGTTTCAATTTCAGTTCTGTCCTATATATCGAGCCATTGGAGTAGCCAAATCAGGACTCGAAATATTATTAATTTTAAAGCAACTTGTGTGCCACAACAACACAGAGAGAGAGAGACGGAGCGATACAGACGATACAGCGAGTGAAAGGGATACAGAAAAACGCTCACATAACTAGCCTGTGTTTATGTACATAGTTTATTGAGTTGATCTGAACAATATATCAATCCATTACGTCTATCGTTACCAAATATACTTAGGCACTTGCTGCAGCGCATGGATCAGTCCAGTCCCATTCCTTCCATGGAACGCATTTACCAGCAGCGGACAAGAAGCCAGTTAGGTCTTCGCAAGCAACTTGTGTAGCTACACCATTCTTACATTGCCAGTAGTGTGTTGGATCCCAGAAGTTGCGTGAAATAGCGCCCTCGTTTGATGAATTGCAAATAGGTTCTCCGCTACCATTGGGATCACAGTCAGCCATAACTGAGACAGCGTAAGCCAAGGTGACGAAGGCGAGTACGTATACTGTTGGGATAACGAAAGGGAATTAATATAATCTGTATGAATTAAGTGATTCTAATTTTTTTTTTTTTAATAAAAATATATGTTTTTTAAATAATT